TCTTCACTTACTGAAGAATTGAGATCATTGGAATAAATGTAACTATAATGGCCTCGAATTTTAGAAAAACTTTCTCGAAGATGCCAATAATTTCCCGTAAGATCATGAAATCTTAAAGAAAGAAAGATAAGAAAATGCTGTTTTATTCTATCATTTTTTATAAGTCGTGGCTTACATCGAATAAAATTTTGATTTTGCCGCTTCAATATTAGAATGAAACGATTCCAACAACTTGCTGCTGCCTGACCTAAAACAAAAAAACAATAGATAAATTGTATAAGAACAAGTTAATGGCAATTTCTTACTTATCTATCAACAAATAATATTCAGTTTGTTCATTGACTTTTAATAATTCCATTCGATATGTTATAGTCTCATTGTTATCATCTGTCTAGAAAGTAAAAGAACAAAAGTTCTTCCTTAAAGTTTAAAAATAATTAAAATAGCACTTACTTTATTTAAAGTACAATCATAAATTCCGTCGTTGTCACTATAGATTTGGGCTTTATTAGCCATTTCGTTACATTCTACATCGACAAAAATAAGAGAAGTAGCCATTCGAGATGGAAGAAAATAAAATCAATCTTGTCTTGTCTTGTTCAATGAAATAGACACTCAATTACGAAGACTGTCTAAAAAAATAACACAATACACAATGAGTTCATAAGAGATCCGAAGAAAAAGAGCCTTTTCCCACATACATAGCATAAGAAGAAAAAAAGTATCGTATAATTCCATATTCATAACAATCTGAGGGAGGTAAACAATAGACGTTCTTGCTATTTCAAACGTGAACGAACATTTTTAACCAATGTTTATTTTGATTCTGCAGCACGTGTTGTTCTGATTACATTTGGATTTTAGTTTGATGAATAGTGATGATGTGGAGTATCTAAAACAATTGAGAAAAAAGAAAAAGAGATGATTATTTAAATTCGTTGGTGTCATAGACAATTGTACTAATGTTGAGAGTCTAAAACGATGAATAAATTTTGAAGTATGTACATGTATGTATATTTGAAGTTCGGAAGTCAGGAACTCAGTAAGTCATATGCTGATATCCATATATGCGTGTATATATAAGTTCATGTGTTCATATACATATATATGTGTATATATTTGAAGTAGGAACTCATGTGCTTATATACATATGTATGTCATAATTACTGCTATGATTGTTTCCGAAGTTAATAATTTAGTTGAGAGATTTTTTGAACTTTTTCTTTCGTATTTATTAAATATATATTAACTAAACGTTTCGATATGCAGTCAGAAACTGAGGCACTCAGAAATTCATGTAGTCATATATTCAGTATATGCGAGATCTTCGATAAAGTTAGGATCGCTGCTGTGTGTGGCGCTGCATTTTTGAAGAGAGTATTTTTAAATTCGTTCAACAACGGTTGCATTTTATGTAGGAAAGTTTAGCTAACAGTAAAAAAAGAACTTAAAAAGAACAATAAGAACAATAGTGCCAAAGTTACAATAACAACGTGCAAGATCGAATTCCTTGAACTGTGCAAATTCTTCAACAAACTAAACAAAAATTTAATTATCAATTCAGAGCTACGTAGCAATGTGCATTTTCGAATCCGTGACTGTCGAAAACGAATTTGGAAAGCGCCTAGGTGTGAACGTATATGAAAACCGAAAACATTATCCTACAGAATGTTAGCGAACAGCGCAATCTATAGAAAAAAACGTTAATTTTGCCACTAATAAGTTAGAGAACCATTTGTCCTAGATGTAGTCGAGCAAGCATTTTCATGCGTTTCAACAAAAAGTATTCAAAGATTTTGAAATGAAAGCAACATATGAAACATCACAAGTCCTCCGACTTCAGAAACAAGATCACTTTTATCTCCATATCGCTGGTATCTGCCAGCATGTGATACCAGCTCAGGTAGTTCTTGTACCCTGAGTAGCTTGAAAGTCTCACACAGATACCACCGCATTTTTATTCAAAACTGAAGTCGTTCTGTCGAAATCATGCTGTTTCGAACCAGACTCTCAAGGAGCTTCTGTTTCACTGTGAAACGCTTGAGACAATCGCGTTTTAACCGGAGTTTGTTGTTTCTCCTTGCCCTACCTGCATTTTGAGTGGCGCTCGAATGGTCATAATTTGACGGAAAACGTCGCAGTATTCTACACTTTCAACATTTCACGGTATTCTGACGAGCAGTAACACTGCATTTCGACCGTAATTGTAATGTCCCGATAAGATCGCAATCGATAGAGAAACGATTCATACGGCAAATTACCATAATGGACATTCAAGTAGTCATTACGAACAGTATTGATATCGAGCACAAGTGGTAGAAGCATCGATGCAGATAGCTGTTAATCTTGATTTTCGTTTCATTTTAAGTCACAAATTCAATGCATTAGAAAGCGTTTTGAGCTCTTGTGATGATCGTTTCTTCCGAGCCATTGTCTCATTCGGTTCGATATTGGCATTTATTTGAATTTTTAATTGATGCCTACAACATGCTCACAAACGGTGTCTCCGTCGATTAGTCTGAATCGAGTTGATGGAAGGTAGTATTTCAGGCATGTTGCTCACATGCCTTCACATCCGTCTTAGTTATTCGTGTCTGCTCGCTTCTTTACGCATTATCTCTTGGCTTCTGCACTTTCTCTCGTTGTTTGGCTTGTTCTTTTGGGTTGGCTGACTTTCGTTAAAAAAGCTTTCATTAAAGCGTTTTTTTTAATGAAAGTATCGGAACTTTTATTAAAATGTCTCCTGCAAAATGACTGTGATCTGGAGTTTTTGACGGCACAAGAACTTCGTTAAAAATTTTAATGAAAGTTTTTTAAATGAAAACGTTTTAATAGCACTCCAATATCTAGTTGTACAGGTGAAAATATGGGTGACAACGCTTGGAACTACCCTAGTCGACCGAACTTACGGCAATTCTATAGAAATCTTATAAGAATCTTATATAAGGCAGTCGATGGAAATGCGTAATTTATTCAACGGTAGAGGATTATTTTAAACAAAACAACAAAATTTTAGTTAAAAGCTAATTTACGTACAACAAAATTTTTTCGGAAGAATTTTCTTTTACTGTATATGAAACAAGTCGCGAAAGTTA